ATATATATATATATATATATATATACACATAATTTTTCAGTGTTTGTTATGACCACATTTAACATCAATACTAAAATAATTTATGTGATTGTTTTTCTCATATTAAATACTAATGAAGCATTTATAAGAATACATGTATATAAACATGCTGCATTATAAATTGAATTACCAGAATAAATGATCATTAAATGTATGCCCCAGTACAGGAACCCATAGCCATGTTCACAAGTTATAATAAAAGCACTAAAAAAACTCATGTTCAAAGAAAATGTATATAATGCTAATAAAAAAAATCCAATACTTTCAGATTCGATTTAATTACCAAAACTAATCCACATACCAGCTTTTCACTGACAAACACAAAGCAGTTATGTTTCTTAGAGTTCTCTTCTTTTGCGATAAAAGTGAAAAACTTTTTATCTGATTTGTCATCAGCACAATAAGAGATCTGATGCAAAGGAAACTGATGAAATATTCTCTGTAAAAGGAATGAGAAAGATTTATGTTAATTTTGAACAAATATACTTGCAAAGATATCAACAAAGGGTAGACATTATCCATCTGATCTACTGTTTCTGTTATTTATTTCATCATGAAAATATAAAACATGGTCCAAATGACACTAATATAGCATTTAACAAAAAAAAGGAAGAAAACTTTGTACAAATTTACCCATGTTTCATCATCATATCTACATTAATCTTTTCAATACTGGATGACTGCCCATTAGAAAAATATTTTATTTACTAATATTTAATAATTTTAATTGTTCAATGAGATCTACAGATGTACAAAAAATTACTTAATATTCATTAAGGTAAACTAAAAGTGCATGTCTAACCAAACATTTAATAACAATTATATGAAAAGTTAACACAGAACCTTTGTCTAAATATTATACTAAAACTATATATATATATATCCCCTAGTGGCATAGCAGTAAGTCTGTAGGCTTGTAACACAAAAAAACAAGTTTTGATACCTGTGGTGGGCACAGCAAACAGAGCTAAGCCATTTAACCATTTGATACTCTAAATATATATATGTATATATATATATATATATATATATGCTACAGAAAAACTCACAATGCTATATTTAAAACTATTTACATTAAAACTGAATTTTATAGGTTTGCAACAATGTATAAACAGCAAAGGTTATGTCCCTAGTTTCTTGCAAGTGTCATATCAAGGCTAAACAGAGTAATTTCTCAGTTTCTAAGCTAGTACTGTCTTAAGATAAACATATAGCTACCTTTCAGCTCTTAAGTATGTGCTAGTACAAACTTTTTTCAAAATTGTTTTTTATAAGTTATCTCCCTACTTTCTAGTAAGTACTCAGTCAAACTCTATACAACAGAATTATCTCAGAGTTTTTCAGTATTAACCTTATATACACAGATGGGGGGTCAAAGTGCACATCCCATGTCCTTTTAGAATGCTATTGAAACATGATATTATGTATTTGATGTCAAAGTTACCAACTATTCATTTTACCCTACACTGCTGATTTAACAATAATCCATGGTAGAGAAGAGCAAATACAAATTACAATATACAGGGATACTGAAAAAATAATAGATATACATTTTTGGAAGTTCTAAAGGTTATGAAAATATGCAAACTGTAAATGAACAAAACTATTTTCATTCTTTACATGAACATGACCTCACACCATGGCTTGCCAAAATCCGAGTCAGACAGATATCATCAATTCACAGACATATACTTTTGTAACACATCTGAATTTTCGTGTACAATAAGCTTGTACATTTTACTAAAAGTTTGTCACATTTTGTGTAGATGGATGTAATTACCTTCTGCATCAGTCATGAGTTAAGATTATTGAATAATGAAAGATATTATTTTTCAAATCAGTGAAACTACAAAGGCTGAAGAGGTAATTAAAACTCAACTAACTTTGAATTGTAACCTTTTATCACACTAGAAATTGAAATAACAGGATTAGGCTCCAAAAAAAACGAAAAATATTCTATCTCACCAGAAACTGAGTGACAATACATTATATAAAGATCTAACATCCAACCAAATTATCAAAAATGGAAATATCATTTATTTTACTAGAAACTGAGTGACAATTCATTATATAAAGATCTAACATCCAACCAAATTATCAACAATGGAAACATCCTTTGTTTTACTAGAAACTGAGTGACAATACATTATACATAGATCTAACATCCAACCAAATTATGAAAAATGGAAATATCTTTTATTTTACTAGAAACTGAGTAAAATGAGAACATATGTGAAGATCTAACATTGTTTAATGATACACACACCTCATCTTGCCTAATTTGAGATGTCAATTATGACTGAATTTAGTACATTGCTGTAATGGGTGACTCTAGAAGCCAGGCATCTAACACTGCCAAATACAATACTTGAGTAAAGGTCAATACAAAGTATGGTTGGGTAAAATTATAAATCTAGTTTTCACTTCCAAGTTCTCATGCATATTGTAATATTTTATGCAGACTACTGAAAATATTGATAATTCCAAGTTTAATAGTCTTTACACTCTATTAATTTAAAAAAAAATTGATTTAATGAAATGTGATTCACAAATAAAATGCACTCTGACAAACCATGATTAGTTTTGTTTTGGATTATTGTGTATTTTAGTATTGGAGTGAATGGCAAAGTGTATTTCTTTAAATTTACAATAGTTTGACATAATTTAGATACTTCTTCAAACAGAGCAAGCTGAAAAAATAAACTTGGTTTTACACTGCTTGAAAAATAAAGAATTTGAACGTATATTACCAATCTCTAACCCAATGCTACAACAGATGTGTATATTCATACCACAGAGTTTTAAACCTCACTTTTAAAATGTGTTTTCATACCACACAACTGTAGAACAACCCCAAATTGGCTTCTAAAATAGATATTGTATAATGCTAAAAATTAATCACAAAAGATACTTTTCTTTTTCAAACAGTAACACTTCCTTTCCTTATTCAGTTGAAACATGTTACCACTTGGTCCTATCACATACCAACCAATAACTCTAAATAAAATGAGGCTTAAATAAAATAACAGGTTCAACAAAACTTATTATAAACTGCTACATCATGCTAGGTAATGGTTTATGTAACCAGTCACAGTAAAAACCTTTTATGATAGCTTAAAGGCCTACTTAGCTATGCAACTTGTTCATTATTTACTGCTTGATTAGTCTGTCCCATTTGGGTGTGTATAAGTAAATAGTATAAAAGTCTTACTTCTTTTAGATACACAAAGTGGCCATTAAGGAGTATATTTGGGTACTTAATTATCACAATTTACTTCTTCACGGTTAGGTGCTCACATAATAAAGATGGATGTCTATTGAGATCAATAATTTTCTTTCTTCAAAGAACATAAGTACAGTACTCTTTTTTTCACTGGATATTTACAACATAATCAGTTCACCTTTAATCAGAGTAACGTAAACTCTAAAATTAACAGCTTTTTTAAAAGAGTCATGAGTTAAAAGATATGAAAATCTCTGCTTACTAATTATTGACATAAACTTATGCTCTACTAAGATAATTATAGTAATGTGTGTATATGTTACATTGTTAACAAGCAAAAGTACCCATCCCCAGTGATGGGAAAAGTTTAAGTTAATATATCAATTTAGATTATTTCATGAACTTTAAAAAAGTTAATTGTGTTGTACTCTTGATTTCACTCAGAGCCAAAGCTCTGAGCTCCTTATACCACCCACTGTGAAAAGTAACTGTTGAGCATTTCATTCATGCTAAAAGCCCCTTAACAATAACAAACAGTAAATCTACATTTTTATTCTTTAAGTTACGTCATGTTCTGAAATGTGAATAATAATGTGATTAATTCCTAACAATTTAGTGTAGAATATTCTGCTTGTGACAACAAAATTGGCATCAATATTATTTATTCCTGTTTTCCCATCATTTCAAAAGCAATGTTAAGCTTTGCCTGTATGCGCAGATTTTCAACTGGGAGACAGAAGAACAGTTCGCAATATATATAAGACAGTTCCACTTTTGTAAATTCAATGTTAACAATTAATATATTTATATATATTATTTATTATCATAATAATATGGTTAATACTATAATATTTTTGTATGCAGTTTCCATAGTTTTAAGATTTCATTTATCATCATATCTAAATATCTACTAACTAACAATTAATTTGAAATTTATTTAACAGAAAGTGAAACATACATGTTAATTAATAATATTCCCTTCTCAATATTTTAATAATTACAGCCATAAAATGTTCAAGAAATCATTACGAGTCTGCTAATCTTGTCAACAAACAACCCTTCATTGTCTGAAACTGAATAATGAATTAATTTTGTGTCTAATTAAAGTCAACCAGGAAATTTTAATTAAAAGTACAAAGTACAGGAAGGATCATTAAAAAACACACACTAATATAAACAACTGACAGAATCTTCCAACATAAACTTGCAATTCACAGGTTATTAATATCTATGAAAAGAAACTCTTTTAAAGGAAATAAGTAACTGTTACCTAACTGAATTAGGGCAACAATGGCTATAACTTCAGGAAAATAAAGATTGAATAACAGTTTGAGGGCATTAGAAAGAACGTCTTTCAGTGGTTAACATATACATTACAGAACAGACGTTTGTGTAGTCACTCAAGTTGGAAACTCCATCCTCTTCAAGTTTAATTTCCACAATATAACAGTACATCCAATGATACAGCTACTCTTAATGTATAAAATCATGAAACAGAAGTCAACTAAGTGGGAGCATCCTCTAAGGTTGGTTGCTCATTGCTTTTAATAGGAGTATACATGTACATTTTCAAACACATGCTCTTTGTCCCTTCTCTTTATTTTTCTTGGTTTCCAATTAGAGAAGGGAAACACTTTCACCATCAAGTTCTTTGTAAAAAGTTAAAAAAGTAAATAAAATTAATGATTAATTACATTGTTTACTTGTAAGTTATGATTCAAAGAAAAAAATTCCACATCAAAACATAATAGTAAAAGTAAATCATTCAACAATATGTGAAGAAAATTTAGAGAGAGAGAATGATTAAAATATAAAAGTTATATAACTCAAGTCAAAAGTTAAAAATAAAATAATATATCAAAAACAGATATGATGATATTTCACTAGGTCATCATAAGTACGAAAATTAAATCAAATGAAACTAGAAATAAAAATAAGAAAATGAAATAACATTAATGTCAACCTTTTAAACAAGGTGAAAGTTTGGTTTATTTGTTAGTTTTGTGTGAAGTATTATAAGAAACTGTTTTTTTACTTTTCTTGAGATATTTATTGTTATTTCGCATATAACGTACTAATAAAAAGCAATACAAAATTAAAAGGAAAGTAAATGAAATAAAAATCCCATTAAAAGACTTCTACAAAATTAATATAGAACTGAAATTTTCAATAAATTTTGTTCATAAATTAGTCTTATTCCTGCCATCGCACTTATAAAAAAGAAAGCAATAAAACTAAAACTTTACAATACAGTACAATGTTTATGATTTATTGAGCACAAGAAATCTATAATAGGGATATTCAACATGTGTCTTAAGCACACATTCTGTTATTTCTTATTGACTTTGATAACAGCTGCACTGAATGACATGCAGTAAAAATCAAATGACTTTCTAATATTACAATAACAATATTTTCTCTCTATGGGGTTTTGAGACCATTTTACTTCACCATATAGTAACCTGAATTAATTCAGGTATGTGAATAATACCAAATAATGAACTTAAGTATGTGAATAATACCAAATAATGAACTTAAGTATGTGAATAATACCAAATAATGAACTTAAGTATGTGAATAATACCAAATAATGAACTTAAGTGTGTAAATAATACCAAATAATGAACTTAAGTGTGTAAATAATTCCAAATAATGAACTTAAGTATGTAAATAATACCAAATAATGAATTAAACAAAATGTCATAACATAAAGTAGCTTAGGGTACTATATAGTGAAGTAAAGCAAACTCAAAACACCATAGGTAGCATATACACTTCACCATTATACAAGGCCTAATGATATTTCTTTTGATTTGCTGACCCAAGCTGTGCTGATGAGCCTTGAATAGGTGAAACTGTAATCCACAGCAGAGGGTATGGCCAATCAAAGAATGCATTAGGCCCCTACATCACAAATAGTCTTTTCAATTTCATCTCTAGTGAAAAAGAAAAGAAATTTTTAACATAGATAACAATATTTTCTATTTTCAAACTCAGAATGTTCTTTTGCTAAAACTAATCTTTTGTAATTAAGTACTTCTAAGTTAACAAAAAAAATATTCTTTCTCATGTTCTTTAACAATGCTTTTTATACTATTCAAAGTATAACAAGAAAAAAGGATAATTACAAAACATTCCTCTAACATTTTGGTTAGGAAAGCAATATAACACAAGACCTCTGTCGTTCACTTGATTATGAGGGTTATATTACAACTGTAACCAACTTATTACAACTTATCTTGTCCAAGAGACTGAGTGTTATCATGAAGATATCATTATTTTATATACAAACTGTAGAAGATTTTGTCCAAGGGATTATAAAAGTTTCAAAACAGCTGTGGGTGATCTTACTTGAGAAAACATGATACTTTATATCACAACTGAAAAAGGGTTTTATCCAAGGGCCTATTACAGTGTTAAGTTACATCTTTGAATGGCCTTGCTCAAGAAGATATGATAGTTTATATCAAAACTATAAAATACCTTGTCAAGTAATGATGATATTTTTTATATTTCATAACATCTGTTAACAACCTAATAAAATATTATATTTTTGTACTACAGCTGTCACTGATCTTACACTCAAGAATATAATACTAATGCTTCAGTTTTCACCACCTTCTTCAGAAGCCAAGAGGATTATTTTATCTTTCACTTCAGCCCATGTTTGAGCTACTTTAAAAGACTATCATTTACCAACAACCAAAAGAATGAAGAAGTTTTGTTTTCAAAGTTTAAATGAGATGTTGGATTACTACTTTTAAGATGTTTTTATTCATTTCCACCACATGACATTCTATGGGATTAGAACTAGTTAAATAAGCAAAAAAAATAAAAAAAATTAGTTTTTAAATCTTTTTATCTTTTATAAAAGATTTTCATGGAATCCTAATCAAGTGTTTCTCAAAATACCATCTTGTGAAGAATTTTAAAGACTTAATTCATAACAATACTACTACACATCCCCTATATTAGTGTAGTAAAATAGTCAAGCAGTGATGATAAAAACATTTCACAGCATAAACATCAATACAAGAGTATTAACTTCAAACATGCTTTTCACGTGACCAATGTAAAAGTACTTTTATTTATATATTTATTCATTTTAGAATGTGGTTAATTTTTTAGCATTATATATATATATATATGAAAGCCATCTTCAAAACCAACCAAAACCTATCTCTGAAAATATCTAATGAATTGTTCTTTCTACACAGACAATATAGTTCTTTCATTAGGCTTATACTGTGTGACTATATTACAATAATGTTATGATTGTTATGACTATCTTAGGTCTGAAAACTTTAAGCTACCAGATTAATCAAACCGTAGTTTCTCCACTAACATGAAATTACTAAGAATGATGCCAAGATCAACATCTATGACAATACTTGATGCTAAGCCTATAAACTTCATTACCTGTAATGCACAGATTTTTACCTTAGTCTTTATGTCTTGAATGGCTACTCCATCCACAGATATAGTAAGCTCAACTTTAGGAGTCTTTCCTCCTTCTGACTTTTTCAGCTGTTGTGAAAACTGGATGAAAAAGTGATTTATTGTTAGAAACGTGCTTATTATAAATATACTGACAAGTTATTTCTCATAACTAGATCAGCAACAAACAATACAAAAAAAAATCAACATTTTTTCTATCTATACCTATTTCAAACAAAGTTATCAATCATTATGTGATCTTATCATAAATGCCAATGCTATATTAATATTAGAAACAGTCTGCTAACCAATTTCTAATCTCCCATAGTCACAACTTTTCATTCTAACTTGCTGTGTAAATAAACAATTTGTTCTTACAAAGTAAACTAGAAGGTTTTAAAATTCTTGAATTAGTAATCACTATGTTTAAACTATGTATGTTGAGGAGGGGATGCCTCAACATCTGTAAAAAGTGTGTTCATGGAACTAAAAACAAGGATATATCATTATATTTCAAAAGATAATGTCTTTGTATTTCTAGCAGTTAAGTTCAACCGTTATAGTATTGATATATTGCTGGCATATGAGATCATAAGGCGATTTGATATTTTTAGTATTTGTTAAGTATTTTAATTATAAGTAATCAGAAAAATGACTAGTTTTAACCTATGTAAATCAGTTTTTCTATTGCCCATTTGGATATACAGCCTCACAGCAGCCCACCACCAACAGACATTTGCAAACTAACTTTTAAACTAAGAATGGAAAAATGGAAGACAAATCTTCAGTTAACTTGAACATATCACAGTAAAATCTGTATGAAAATACATTTTGTGAACCAACTTGATGTGACATGTAAATCACTGCATGAAAATGTGCCTGTCAACAATTATGAAGCACAAATATTCCTTAAAGACCATTTACTTTATCATCAAGAAAGTGTTGTACAAGTGAAAATCTAATCTTAATAATGATGCAAGATAAATCACAGAGTGTCAGTAACTTGGATTTGGCTTTCAAAAGGAAATGCTTAGCAATAATGGTGTATCACAATTATTTAGTACATGTTCGTTCTTGTTAAATCTTTACCACTCATGTGAGTTCTTTCTTTTCAAACATCAGAGCAAGGAGACAAGACAGCAATCAACTGAACATAGCACATTTCTTGAGTGCCAAGGTGTCACAACATTCCAACATTCACCAACCGACAAATGGTAGAAAAAAATATGTTCATCTTGTGGACTACCTATGGTTGTGTTAGGGGAGACTATGGGTTACCTCTGGTATGCATAGAGTTGAAAGCTATGAGAAGCAGACAGAACCTATTTCATTCCTCCTATTCAATCAGTCTTATAAAAACTTTCAAAATCTAAAATTAAACAGTTAATTCTTGTGTATTAACATTTAATAGAACATCACAAGTTTTTTTTTTTTGCTATAAAGACCTATAAGTCTCTGTGTGCCATTCATTTTAAAGCTAAAATCATTTTTTCTAAACTTACAGCAAGCAAGGTGTGTAATAAGGTATATTTTTTGCTAGTTGTGGACAATTTTTTATGACTGAGAAAAGGGGCACTTTTAGGACATAAGAGGAAAAAAAGCAGGGACTTAATCCCCACCCAGCCACCTCCTGTCTGCAGAAGATCATAAATGGTAATGATACGAAACTTCTAATAAATAAGATCCTTTCAAAATTTTAACCATTGATTTTTATCATTATAAAATATCTCTAACTCATGCTTCCACTGTCATTGAAAGCACTAAATAATTTCGAACCTCATTATTATTATTATCTGTCATATCTGTTAGTAATGGATGGTATTTATATAAAACTACCAATATATATATATATATATATATATATATAAACATGAGATTTCTGATACTCTACATAACTATTACTAGTGTATTTATTTGATCATATAAAAGTACATTGATGTTATCATGTGACTCATACATGACAAACAACATGGACAATACCTGGCAATGGATGATAGTTGTCAGTAGTTCTTAGTATGTGTAAAGTGTTTCTAATAAATGAATGATACTAAGTGTTAAAGTATGTGTGCTATGTTTCGATCAATCAACACAAATGATTATCTGTGAGTATAGATTACATCGATTATTATCACATTAAATAATCAATTAATTGAAATTACAATTAAATCAATTAATGCCATGAAAATAATAACTAATAAAAACTAGTGTTTCTGATTATTATACTATTTTTGATAAATTCAAGTTTG